TTAAACCTTGTAACTGGTACATAAAGCAAGATCATTCCTATTGTTGCTCTGTCAATGAACATCAAATATACTCGCATATTAAACATATACTGTCCGACCAAGGTGGTGTTAACCCTGTGTGTGGCCGTTCGAACGGCTGCAAGTAGCTGCAAGGGACGGGAGCGGGAAGCACGGATGTGGCACGCTGAGAATCACGGAATTATAGGATGCTTTGGGGTGGAGGAGACCTGGACCTTCACTGAGTTCCAACCCCCCCTGCCATGACCCGAAGGGGCAAACGCCCCTCTCGGCCCTCACAGAAGGAGGCGAGACCGGGGCACGTCCCCACTGGACGGCAACAACGGGCCACCCGGGCGGAGACCGGCTGCTGCCCCTGGGCCTCCGCAAACAGCCCGGCCCGGGGGCTGAGCGTCCATCCCGCGCAGCTTCCACCCCTCCCACCTCTCTCCGGCAAACCCTGACCAAGCCCCAAGTTTGGGACGCGGAATGCAGGCAGGGGGGGTCCGCTCTCAAAGCCATTCTGCGGAAGGGCGAGCAGCACAGGGTACCCCCACCCGCATGCATCCGCTCGGCGGTCTGTCGCGCTCCCAGGAGGTGACCGGGGGAATACGCAGCCACTGTTCCTCAGAACCTAAGATAAAACTTTGTGCGAGCCCCTGCGTCCTCTCCTGAGCCTGTTTTCACCGGGGCTGTTCCCCTGGGTAAGGAAACCATCAGGGTTTGCCCCTCGTTTTGCTTTCTGTTGTAACGGCTTGATTTCCCAGCATCATGAACAAGCATCAGCATCTCTGTAGGAATCAGCTGAGGCTTCCCAGATGCTGTACACAATTAATCTGGCTGTAAATTTGCCAGTCCTAGGTATAGTACCTACAACTCTAGCTAGAAGTGAGTGGGTATACTTGCAAGTCCTGAGCATCTTAGCCACAGTCAGTTAATAAGTAAGCTGAACACAACAGGACTAAAGTGGAGAGGCTGATCGGAATTTTAACCACACTGTAGTTGGTATTTTTCCTTCTTTATACTTTTATTTTGAGATGGGAACACGTTAATTAAAAAACTAAAAACAAACAAACAAAAAAACACCAATATTTCAAAGTATAGGTAAGCTATCCCTGAAACTAGTGTATGCTAAATGTCTTCTTTTTTCCCCCTCCTCAGGATGTAAACAGTGTATTCAGGCTTTGTATAACTGACCAGTCTCTGATTTCACTGGAAATAGAGGATTGGTTGTTGGGGTAATGCATTATTCACTGTTGGCTGTGTATGTTTTACTTTACTAGACTTCTGTTGCTGTTGTGGCTAAGTTCTTCCAAGTTTAAATCAGACTTGGATTTAGCTTCTCTGAGATGTTCCACGATAAGAAGAGAATTATTTATTGTCATGTTCATTCTCTGAAATTCATGGAAACAGTTAAGACATCTGTGTATCTTTGTGCATAATTTAATACAGAATTTGCGCACAATTTTTAGATGAGATTTCAGTAGAAATTCTCATCTAAAAAGCCTTATCAGTGTGTCTTTAGTCATTTACAAAGAAGATGTAGTTCGGATTGTTGGAAATAGGCAAAGATCAGAGGCCCTGACATTAGAAAAGGTTTCTTTCACCTTACTGACTATGGGTTTAGGATATATGAAGAACATTTGTAAACAGTTGCAGTGAAGCTGCACTATAATTTCAGCTACACTAACAGTGTTTGTTTCATATTAGGCTGATGTTCTTGAAAGCAGCGTTTGTTCCTGAATCATTACACATTCATGCAGAACTTTTGGTCTTTATTTTCCAAGTGCAGTTTCAGTATTGTGATTCATATACTCTCTCTGCTTGTAAAGCAGGGAAAATTAACCAGAGTTTTCTAAGCAGAATTTTCCATTGACATCATTGGAGAGTCTGCTTAAAAACTGATGGTATCGTATGGCCAGTGGAAAGTAGGCTATGCATGAAGAGAAATATCTGGATAAACTATAGCATCTTTCAAAAAACAGAACAACCAAGAAACAGTTTTGCTCCAATTAAGTGCTAGTCAAACAGTTCCTTGCAAATAACATAATCAAATATTTTGGTAATTTTCTTCAGAAAATAGTCAATAGTAAGTTTTTCTGATTGTTTGGGGGTTTTGATCAATAGAAGTTTAAATTTTGGTCAAACAATATTCTGAGAATTTCTCCACCAGCTGTCAAGCAGCTTGCTGGAATGGTTTCTGTTTCATTATTCAACCAGCTCGAGGGTTTTCACTCTTGCAGTATTTGGCAGGGCAAATATTTTCAATACCTGCAACTGACCATCCCATTAACTGTGAAAAATTTAACTTGAACAATAAACAGTGTTCTGCCAAAGAATCACAGCAACTTATTCCAAAGTACATTACTCAATCAAAAATCTTGGGCAACATTCATATGACCTTTGCCTGCTTTCAAAATGTAACATTAATGTTTTTTTTATTTTCCTTCCAGAATTCTCCATTGGGTAATACGGGTTGATTTTTAAAAGATAATCCGAGAGTTTCAGCAAAACAGTTATTATACTCAGGATAATGATATTCAATGGGACTCACCTTGCAACCTTTACACACACAAGCGCTTAACTATTACTTATATAAGGGCAACAAGGACTACTTGTATGCATAAGGGTTGCAGGGTCAGACTCAAAGGCCCCCAATATGACAAATCATTTAAGAGTAGGAATTACTTTGGTCTTTTGCTGTATAGAGCTGGAGTGCTGAGCTGGGACAGTAACTGGCATGGTGGATGATGTTTCTGGAGTGAAACGGCTTTGTAGAAGCCCTACTTTTTTTTTTCAATACAAAATTAGACAAATATTTGCAAAAAGGGGGATATGTGAGAAACAAGGAGGTAGAAATGGAATAAAATGTGAATATAGGATAGCAACAAGGACATTACTTCCAGATCTTTCAGGTAGGCTTCTTCGAAATCAAGGAAGGCTAACAAAGCAGCTAAGCATCTGATACAGCTCATATATACTGAGACTTCTGTCGTGGTTTAAGCCCAGCTGGCAATCCAGAACCATGTGCTAGCCCTTCCAGGTAACTGCCCCAGTTTATATACTATGCACGACATGCTGTGGTATGGAATACCTCTTTAGCTAGTTTGGGTCAGGTGTCCTGTGTCTGCTTCCTCCTGGCTTCCCTTCATCCCTGGCAAAGCATGAGACTCAGAAAGTCCTTGGTCACAGTAAACATTACTGAGCAACAACTAAAAACATCAGTGTTATCAGCGTTGTTTCCAGGCTGAAAGTCAAAAACACAGCACTGCACCAGCTACTAAGAAGGAGAAAAAATTACTGCTACTGCTGAACCCAGGACAATTTCTTACAACAAAATTTTTGCCATTGACACTAAAGTTTTACACAGAAATTAATTTGTCAAAACTTTCTGCAGGAAAACATCTCAGTTTCAGGGGAAGGTTTCAGGACTGAAACGGAAAGAGCTTTTCATCATAGCACCTTGTTATAAGCAGACCTGGGCACTGTCTGATTCACAGGTGGAAACTGAAGTTTGGATCATCATATTTGAGATAGGTGCCCTAATCACCATGGATTAGGTTGTGGTGTGCTCTCTTTTTTCTTTTTTTAAGAATGGGAAACAACCCGACTTTATTTTCACAGAGACTGAAAAAAAGTCTTTAAAAATATAAATTATTCATGCAGAAGAATTCTTTCCTTCCTGACAGCCCTTTCTATATGACTTGGAAATACGTAGGAACTTCATACTTACACAAAAGATTCTCAAAAGAGCAAGATTCGCCCCTGTGAAACTGGCAAAATATTTTACAAATGCTTTCCATTTGAATTCCTGAATTGCTCAAAGTTTAATAAACTCAGATATAGCATTTACCAAATAAAAACAAAAATGAAAAGACAGGAGCAGTAATTTGTCCTGTATTACTGCAACGCAGTTTACACCATTAGGTCAATATTTCCATTCCAAATCTGTTATCCAGGGATGTATAACTTAACCATAAACATTCATTCAGAACTGCAGTGAGGCATAGAAGTGTATCAAACTTGAATGTAGCCTTGGATAATTTTAAATGCCAAAAAAGGCTAGCAAAAAAGGCAGTTTATTTTAGTACTCAGTTAAAAAAGTTACTCCCTCTGTTTAGACGATAGCCTACATTGTTTAAGAGTGCACTTGTGGCACCTGAGTAGAAAACCAAATATGAAATAACTTTTTCATCTACTGAAGAGACTCAGATTGACACATATTTACCATGTTAAAAAAGCAAATATTTCTACAGCTGATTTTAGCATAGATTTTGAATAAAATTCAGTTGTGGTGGAAGTTATTGCATCCCTTAATGAGATCAGCAGAGAGACAATCCTGCTCACTGTGCCTTTATATTTGTGTTTAGGAGCTAGATAAACAGAATGTAATAGTGTTAGGGCTGTTAGTATAAAAACTAGGGAATAAGAAACTCTCAGGAGCTGAGATTATTTTGCTATTGCTGGATGGAGAAAACCCAGTATGTGCCCTGCTAGGTCAAAAAATGTCTTTAATCGTGCATCGGAACACAGAAAGAAACTTCTTCCTGGAACACTTATCTGGAAACATGGTAAGCAGCACCGGCTATTGCGATGTTTCCAAAATACAGGACAGTGAGTGGAAGAGTGGCTCAGCTTTAGGAAGCCCAGTAGCATCCTCTTGGCTTTAGAAGCTCACTCTTATTACGTTAAGGGCAGAGTTTCTGAGACTCTGGAGAACTGCCCTGTGTGGTTCCTGCTGGGCATTCCTCCATTCCACGGAAGGTGAAACTTGATCCCCAAGGATGACAGCATTCCTCCAAGTGGATTACAAAAGCTGCCCTGCCTTCTTAGGCCATGAAGTGGCTGGAAGCCTTGGAAGGGATGCAGACCAGAGAGTAATAAAAGTCTGGCTAAGCTTCACATCTAGGTTGTCAGGTAGGAGGGGATGCCCTGAAACTCAGGGTCAGAAGAAAGAAGAGACGGGTGACAACGGGGTTTTTCCTTTTTGGTGCAAGGACATA